GTTGTTGTGAGACTTAATAATACATGAATGTATTAAAAAGGACTAGATCTGGGGGCGCCTGGGTGACCCAGTTGGTTAAGTGTCCAGCTCTTAATTTCGGCTCAGGTCATGGTATCACGGTTTGTGGGATCGAACCCCACGTGGGCTTCCACACCAACGGTACAGAGCCTGCTTGCGATTCTTTCTCTCTCTGTCTGCCCTTCCCCTTCTCGCTTTCTCTTTCTCTCTCCCTCTGTCAAAATAAATAAAAATAAACGTTTAAAAGGGGCGTCTGTGTGGCTCAGTGGGTTAAGTGTCCAACCAGCTTAGGTTGTGATCCTGTGGTTCACAGGTTTGAGCCCCGCGATGAGCTATCTCCTGTCAGCACAGAGCCTGCTTGATATCCTCTGTTCCCCTCTCTCTCTGCCCCTCCTTCACTTGTGTTGCCTCTCTCTCTCTCTCTCTCTCTCTCTCTCTCTCTCTCGAAAATAAACATTTTAAAAAAGTGAATAGTAAAGAAAGGGGCTAGATCTGTCCTTAACACAGCACCCAGAGTTATCCTTTTAAAAAGTACGCCAAGGGGCGCCTGGGTGGCGCAGTCGGTTAAGCCTCCGACTTCAGCCAGGTCACGATCTCGCGGTCCGGGAGTTCGAGCCCCGCGTCAGGCTCTGGGCTGATGGCTCGGAGCCTGGAGCCTGCTTCCGATTCTGTGTCTCCCTCTCTCTCTGCCCCTCCCCCGTTCATGCTCTGTCTCTCTCTGTCCCAAAAATAAATAAACGTTGATAAAAAGTACGCCAAATCGGGGTGCCTGGGTGGCTCAGTCGGTTGAGCGTCCGACTTCGGCTCAGGTCACGATCTCGCGGTCCGTGAGTTCGAGCCCCGCGTCGGGCTCTGGGCTGATGGCTCAGAGCCTGGAGCCTGTTTCCGATTCCGTGTCTCCCTCTCTCTCTGCCCCTCCCCCGTTCATGCTCTGTCTCTCTCTGTCTCAAAAATAAATAAATGTTAAAAAAAAAAAATTTTAAAAGTACGCCACATCATGGCAACCCACTAAGGAAAACCCTCCAGTGGCTCAGAGTGGAGGTCAGAGTCCTCACCATGGCTCCCTTCGCCTTACTCCCCTGACTTTATCTTCTCCCTCTGCTCTCCTTGCTCCTGCCACACCAGCATCTTGCTGCCGTCTCATCCTCACCAGGCACACTCCTGTCTTGGAGCCTCTTGCTCCCCCTTTGCTTCTGCCTGGAGCACTCTTCTCTAGGGTATCAGCACGTCTTGCTCCCCTCACCTCCTCTAAACCTGCATTCTGACTTCTCCACCTTTTTCTGAACAGCAAACACCCTCACTCCTGGACCTCTCTTTCTCCCTTCTTTCTTTGTATTTCCTAGACCGACTCTCACATGCTAGTGTGCCAAATAACTTATATTCTGCCTCCTCCCACAAAAACATAAGCTCCGTGAAGGCTGCAGGACTGCTGTATCTGTGAGTGAACGAATGATGCCTCCCCCATAGTAAGTGCCAGGCCAGGTTAGCTGTGGTTCTTCCCAAAACACCCGGGGCTGTCTGACTCCACACACACACACACACACACACACACACACACACACCCAGCAGATTGAGGGGACGGGAGTAAGAGCAGGCACAGATGTCTACTTCTCGACCCGCCTCCCTCCATAAACCCTGCACAAGAAAGCTCCCATTCCGTCCATCTCGGACAGCCGTCTTGTTAAATGCATACATTTGGGGGAAATACGCAAAACAGGCGAATGCTTTATGAGAGTGAAAAACCCATTTCTGGTCTTTTAGAACTAGTTTAACACCCCAAAGAAGAAAATTTGTGTATACACAGTAATGCTGTTCCTTTGATATTAAATTAGTATTAAAGTGGGATGGAAACTCCTCTTATATTGGGCTCCTATGGAGATGGACAAAGTAATTTTAGAGAAAAAGCAGCTGCTCTCAGCAGTAGGCTCAGAAATGTCAATTTTAATTAAAACATTTATTTTCAAATACATTTCACGGTTCATATGTAGTGATATGTGTCTACTTCATGCAAACGTTCAAACCGCTGGGCTGCGGAAATTGGAGAAAGGCATTTTGATAAAGAACATGAACGGTATGATCAAAACAAAGAAATGCAAAGAGAAGAAAAGCCACATTGTGCTTCGGTCCACACGTCAGATTGCTCCTCATGGACTTGCTCGCTGCTGGCCAAAGGCCTGTGGACCCCCTCAGAGAAATCTGGTGTCCGTGGGTCATCATGGGCACACGTGGGCCGTGCCCCCACTCCCAGGTGAGATCCATTTTGCATACGGATACCTATTTACTTCAAGAACAGAGGCTCTCTCCCCGTGTTACAAGATCTTAGCCAAAGAGAACTACCAGAACCTCCAACTCCCAAATCAAAATTCACCCCAACTCCATCTTTCCCCAAGCACTGTTTTGGGTTGGAGTTATGAAAGCTGCAGAAAGGTGTCCAAAATTTTACAATGACCTTCTGAGCTCCCGTCTCCTCTTGCTCTCTGCCCTGCCGAGAGCTCTATGCACCTGCCAAACTTCTGTTGACTTCCCAGGGAAACTGGCCATGGCTTCAGTGTGGCCAAAAACCATTGAAATAAAAACGCGGCAATTTAAATAAGCAGCAATTTAGGCGAAGGGTTTCTGAAAATTTTGCTCAAATTTCTCTAAAGACATCTATGAATATACTCTTATTTAGCATTAGAATATTAAGATAATCACTGTGTGTGCTATGCTAGAAAAATCATTGCCACTGGGTTGAAATCAAAGACGATAAGCAATATTTATTAGTGTGACAAGTGTCCTTTATCTTGTAATCTGGTGCATGCATTTCTGATTAAGGTGTATCCTAATATTTGAGAAAATTACAACATATAAATACAGTTGCATCGATTGCTGCTCTCAATATGCTTTTAACCTCTTCAAAGGAGCCATTAACATCACAGTCAGAAACACATAGTGAAGTCCAGAGAATGTATGCACGTACTTGCAGTTGGCTGGGTACTCCAGTGCCAAGCACGTTTACGAGTTATTGAATGCTCCAATGTGTCAGTTGTGAGAGTTTGACTTTGTATTTAATGATGTCAATAGCATACTTCCAATTTTTTTTTTTAATTTCCGAGCTAATTTTAAACTGTTTTTGAGTTTTGCATTTTGATTTTAAAAGTGTACTCAATTATAATCAATCCTTTCTTTTAAAAAAATATTTCCTTTGAGAGAGAGAGCACACGCGTGCACATGAGAGGGGTCAGGGCAGAGAGAGGAGAGAGAGAATCCCAAGCCGGCTCCACACTGAGCACCAAGCCCGACTCAGGGCTCGATCTCATGACTGTGAGATCATGACCAGACCCAATATCAAGAGCCAGACGCTGAGCCACCCAGGTGCCCCTAGTCAATACTTTCTTGAACCCAAACATTTTGTTCCTTCCCAAGAACTATATAAAATTCTGATTAAGAGCTCTGATAAAGGAAATGAGACCTCTGTTTTCTTTTTTGTTAATTTTTTTAATGTTTATTTATTTTTGAAGGGGAGAGGGGGGTGGGGGGAGGGGCAGAGAGAGAGGGAGACCCAGAATCCAAAACAGGCTCCTGGCTCCGAGCTGTCAGCACAAAGCCCTATGCGAGGCTCGAACTCATGAACCGCTAGATGATGACCTGAGCCGAAGTCTGATGGTTAACTGACTGAGCCACCCAGATGCCCCGAGGCCCTCTATTTTCTTTTGATTGCTAGTGGAAGGGCTATTTGGTCACGGAGTTATTTGGTGACAGCAGACATATGTCCTGACATATCCTGGCTGAGTGAAGAGAATGGGGCATCAATGTCACAGAAGAGTACATGGATAAGGCTTAAGAAAATCACCTGTGGGTTACTTAACACCAACAAAAGAAAATAGGACGCTTCTTAAGTGTTGACCACATCGGGGTGCCTGGGTGGCTCAGTTGGTTGGGCAGCTGACTTCGGCTCAGGTCACGATCTCGCGGTCCTTGAGTTCGAGCCCCGAGTCGGGCTCTGGGCTGATGGCTCAGAGCCTGGAGCCTGCTTCCGATTCTGTGTCTCCCTCTCTCTCTGCCCCTCCCCCATTCATGCTCTGTCTCTCTCTGTCTCAAAAATAAATAAACGTTAAAAAAAAATTAAAAAAAAAAAGTGTTGACCACGTCAAAGCAGGTGCTGTTCTAAGAGGTTTTGCCTGGCGGTTCATCTAATCCTACCAACACACTGTGACAGACCGTACTATTATGATTGTTCCCATTTTTCAGACGAGGCAAACTGTCACAGAAAGGTGAAGTCGCCCTACATCACATAACCAGTAAAAGACTTAAAAGTAGGCAGTTGGGCTCTATAGTCTGTGCTGTTTAAAAGCACAGATTTAATTAAAAAAAAAAAAAAAAAAAAAAGAGGATGCAGGACTTTCCTAGGACTTTCCTTTCCATAGACCAGTGGTTGTTCATAGCATAGTAGTTAAAAGTAAAGGGCTTTCACACCAACTACTAGGTGCAAGTCATAGCTGCTTTAACTCCAGCTGCGTGACCTTGACTGAGGTACTTAGGCTCTCTGAGCCTCAGGTTTCTGTTTAGGAAGATGGAGATGATATGAGGATTAAATGAGTTGGTACACAGCAAGCACTCATGAAGGGTAGTTATTGTTGTTATTAGTTGTACTACTATCTACTTACAAACAGAATGGGTCGGGAGCATCCTGGATTTACAAAGGTCAAGAAAACCTAACTCATTTTCATGGCATTTGTTTTTCAATAATGAAAAAATTGGAAGAAAGTTAAACAGTGTGTCTGCCCTCTTTTTAAAAGAGGAAACTAGATTTTTTTCAACTCTGATTTTGGTATAGATTGGGCATTCATTTTGATGTAACCTACTACTTAGTATTTAAAAAAATCTTTTTAATGTTTATTCATTTTGGAGAGACAGAGTTGGAGTGGGAGAGGGGCAGAGAGAGAGGGAGACACAGAATCTAAAGGGGGCTCCAGACTCTGAGCTGTCAGCACAGGGCCTGACACAGGGCTCGAACTCATGAACCGTGAGATCATGACCTGAGCCGAAGTCGGATGCTCAACTGACTGAGCCACCCAGGCTCCCCACCTACCACTTCCTAATAACTGTAGCCTTCAGATCGCTGTTGCTTTGTTTCTCCCCACCCCCATTTTCCTGTTAGTTCTCTTCCTAACATCTTCTGAAATCCAGTCAGGATGAGGCTCGACAAAACCAGATGTTACAAGAAAAACAAGAAAGAATCAGATTAATGATTCTTCAGCTCAGAGGGAGTAGCGATTTTATTAAGGGAAAACCGCAGAAGTCATGGATATTGTCGGCAGCATTTGCCCTAGTAGAGCATCTAACACAAACCAGTGAGAAGCAAATGTGTGTGTGTCCCATGTTTATGCTGCTCATGTAAGCACAGAAGAGCCACGATCTTCAGAACCAAAGGATGTGGGGAAAAATGAGCAGCTTTTTTGTTGCAGTTAGGTGCCAGGTGGAATCCCTTATTACCAATATAGTAGATACGATCATTCCATACAGCAGTCATACATAGTCTTTACAGCTCGTAGGAGGGGCGCTGTCTACTGTAAATAATTTTACCATGATGCAGCCATGGAGAAAGAGGCACCATTAGTGAGAGGGATTCAACCAGCCGGCCGCTGGCTTGTATTAAAAGAAGACCTGTAATGAATGATTGGGAAGAAGTTGAAAACTGTAGGCTTCTTTGCTTGCAACTTGTATTTTTTGTTAGTGAGGATCATTTTTGCTTTCTAAAGCATTTGATTGATTTAAAGTAGCTCTTCTCATTAAGTAATCTTTAAATTAACCTTCAACCATGTATCAGCAGCTGTACGATGAAAGCAAATGCATTATGTATTACTGTTTTGGATATAAGTTCTGAAAAAGCCAACTATCATTCTCAACATCAAAGAATGGCCCTTATCAAGGGCTTGGCTGAGAGGATAAAGCACTGGCTAGTTACCTTATGACCTCGGTTCCAATCCAAATTGTATCGCCAGTCATAGGAGTTCTATGATCTCAGCTCCACACAGGTAGATGGTAGTCCATATCACCAAAACACAGGTTGGCAAAATTGGAATTTTCCTGCTTAGGAGAGACCTAACGCTGAAAAAAGTCCAGAGACATGCAGGTGAAAAAGCATCCAGCTCATAAGCCATCCGAGAGATGGCAGGCTTCTCGACTGGGCGAGGTGGCTCAGAATAGCAGTCTGGGGATGCTCTCCAACCTGGCTTGCAGATAAAGAAATCTGTTTTCAGAGCCTGCAGTTCATCCAAGTCTATTTTTCAAGCCAACGTCTCCTCTCCAAACTTTCCCCTCCCCCATTTCTCTCCTTCCAGAAACAAAAAGCAGAAAGCCCACCAGAAGGATTTTTAGGATGCCATTTGTAGAACTAGTGTGATGGTTCTAATCTCTTGAAAGGATATTCCAATTGAGCTGGTCTGTTACAGACCTTGCTTTTTAATATTAAGATTAAAAATAATTAGTTATCACATTCTCAACAAAGCCATTTAGATTACAGTTAAGTATGAGGACAGCTATGCCCGTAGTGTTGTATTCTCAGGAAGGAGACCTACTACATCAACTGTAGGAGAAAGTACACTAAGCAAAAATACTTTCCTGGCCCCATATGAGCAGTTTTAAAATTTTGAAACATTTTAAATCAAATTAATAAAAGGCAATGCAGTTAGTATTTGGCATTTGTATTTGATAACAGGTAGTATGTGTCCCAACTATGTAGTGTCTTCTTTTAAACAATTTCTTTTTGCTTTTGTACATTTGACCACTGCCTTTATTTTTCATTCTATTTATTAGCGCACTAATTTAGTCATTCCTAGGTCCTTTCAAGAAATATTTTAGTAATTGTGAAGTGAAATAGTTAATATACATACTAATCCTATGTATTTGGTTTGGGAAGAAGGGAGCATTCCAACCTCTGGTTATGTCCTTTATTTCCAAATACAGATAGATAAGAATCATCTCTCTTGAGCTCTAAGTCAGAGCACTCGGCCAGGCAAGCAAGGTGAACTTCTGTGATGGTGCATTTAAGAACTTGTTCTCTCTATATACAAATATTAAGTAACTTCAGCTATTTTGAAAGCAGAGGCACATTTCCTGAGTTGGGCAGGGTGCACTGCTATGGGTTTATGTTTCTACTAAAGGCAGACATCGCTCACCCATAAGATTGAAAGATGACTATACCACCCATGTGAAGCGAAGTCTCTTCTCCTTTTCTATGTATGGTGCAAAGTTGGAGAGCTTTGGGACTTCAGTCACCACAACTTGCTCAAATGACTCATATGGTGGACTTGAAGGAGACACAGGTTGGGGTGGGGTGGTTGTCAGCACACAGAAAGTTGCACGGGGGTCCAGACATTCCAATGGTTGTGCCTGGGAAGCAGATCCCTTGATTTTCCAGGAGGTGGTTAGTCCTTGGTGCCTGCGCCATGAGGCTAAATGGGCTTCTCTCACACGCGCGGAGGGGGGAGCAGATGAAAGGATACAAATTCAACAGCCTTTTATTGTCAGCAAACAAAAAGGGGCACACATGTGCCAGTTTATAAATTACTGTTTTCATTAAAAAGGAGTTCAAAAATCAGGTTCCACTTATCATTGTTAAAACCTTAAATTTTTTTTAGCCGTGTGATTTCATTATATGAATTACAGAACAGTAATAGAGTAGTATTACTCTTAAGCCAGCTCACTTAAATTTAAGACATTCAAGACCCAATAATGCATTAGGTTCTTTAGTTCAAGTTATGCAAATAATATACATTTTTTATTCGGCTTCCCACCAGGTTATACATGTATTATAAACACAACAAAGACCTCTTTCTTGTACAATATATTACTCAGAAGCTGGTGAAAAATAGAAGCCAAAATATTGTGAATTACATTCTCAAAATGATTTGGCTTTGTACGACCGGCTGACATATTTTAAATGCTAAAGAGAAGCTGGGACTGGAAAGGAAAATGTTGACTCACTGTTACCTACTACTGTTGTCATTCATACCGATGTTCTTCAATGTCTAAATCAGATTATTATCTTTATTTTCTTTAGAGTGGAACTAGCAGACCCAGCTTTGCTACATTTGGAAAATCAGCAGGGGGAATGGTCATCTCTAAAAGACAAAAATAAAAGAAGGGACTGAAACTTAACATAAATTACCATGGCTGTCCCCAAACTCAGAACTGGAGAGAACCTTTTTATTCTTTTACACAAAGCTGATGATGGAAATCGATATGGATTATTTCACAAGCCTTGTTTCTTAAATATTTTGTATGGTTGCATGATATAATTCACACACTTTTTAAAAAATATAGCCACTGACATATTAATTCCATTTGGGCTTTCAAAGAAAAAAAAAAGCTAAAGTTTAGGAAATTAGAAATACTGGTGGGTTCTGTCGTATGACAAACGCAGCATTTACATCATGTATAGACTTAGCCCCAAAATTTATACGCTAGGTGGTGAGATAGCTCTGTGTCCTTGCCAAGGTTTCCATGTTGCCATTTATGCCCAATGTAGTCAATTGGTAACTTGCTCAATTTGATAAAATTAATCAATAATATATATATATATATATATATATATATGTATATATATGGATATGTATGGATTTTTTGAGAAAGTGAACATGAGCATATTTGTGTGTGTCTCTGAAACATACAGATGAATCTCATCGTAATCTCATGCTTTGAAAATATCCCTTCACCCAGGGGGCTTTACTTGTTTATGCTGAGCAGACTGAAAACAAAAAATAAGAAAAGTGGAAAATAAGAAATTCACAGTCCCTTGGCTTCATGACGTAACATGAGCTCTGTGGGAACGAGGGAGCATTCCTTTATACTTGTATGCAATCTGAGCTCAGTGGCTTTGAAAGCTCTGAAGTCCTCCACAAAACTCTTTCCTCCCTCTTACCCCCCCCCCCCAATACCCCATCTCAACTAATTTATATAATCTCATCAGCATTTCTAACAGAAACTCTCACCTCGGATTCATTCCTTCCTGCGGTAGAGTGGGTAGAACCAGCCTTTGGAGTACTTAGCAAATCACTCTCAGCCGCTCCTTCAAGTCAACAAGTGTCAGTCAGCACACAGTTCTTTCTAGGCGGCAAGAAGGGCCCCACTGGACGGCAGGCCAGCGCGTGTTAGGATGGGTGCATCATCATCTGTTTTGATGCTTGCCTGTCTGCCCCTGAGTCTGCGGATGGCTTCCTTCTTAACAAAATCTAGGCACAGAATCACATTTACTGTCACAACACATAGTGCTGCTGCTGTGAAAGATCAAAAATGGCCCTCCATCACATCGCTATTAAGAATTTTAAAAAAGACTGTGAGGTCCGAATTATTTCTTAATTGCATTTCACACCTGGTTAAGATAGTGTCTACAGCTGCAAGGAGATGAAAGGAGTGATTGATCCTTGAAAAGAGAATAGGTAGGGTAGGCCTTGGAAGGCTTGAGACCAAGGCACACTGGGACGAAGTGAAAAGCAGAATCCACTTTTGCTAGAATGAGTTTCTTGCCAGCGTTTGAAAAAGAGGAAGGTGGCTCTGGGGGCAGCCTTCATTCTCCAGTGCGGACTGCAAATCCCCCACCGAATGGTCTCACTGTAAACAGCAGATATTTCAGACGCAATTAGACTTCCATGTGCCCCGCAAACAGCTGGGAAGAGTTTCCAAAGTTTTCCCTCTTTCATCTGAGTGGAATACTAAGGAAATAAAATATCCTGACAACTTCTGGCGTGGTCTTGTGACTTTAAAAAAAAATCAGCCTGTGAAGTATCACTGCTCTGTTTTAGTCTAATGCTACTTCTATCTTTTATCCTTTTTAATTAGAAGGCAAATTCTCAGACCGCCAGGCCTAATCCCTACACAGTGGAACAAAGCCCAGCAAAGCCTTTGAACACTGTTCAGCCGGGCAGCACAAACCCTAGTAACTGTTGGCAGTAAGGGCAGGACTCTGACCCTCATCTCAGCCATTCTCCTGCAGCTCCTGATGCACCCTGCCCTTCAGAACCCTATCTGTTGTTCTTCTGTTTGGACTGAAAAGACAAAAGAGGAGACAATGTGGGAAGCCTAGAGGATTGGCTAGGTAGGACGCGGGGCGCTAGTGGAGGAGAGGGGCAAGTAAATGGAGTTTCACGGGAATGGACACAGTGGGGAGAATTGGATCACCAGATTAGGTCTTTAGGTTCAAGAAATTTCTTCATCCCTCACTAAATCTTTTCATGGACAATGCCACTTTTTAAACAATTGTTGCATTTCCAATTACTCCAGGAGTGTTCAAACAAATGCCCCCAAACCCTCCGTGAAAAGTTTGCTCATATTTTAAACTCGCCAGATGAAAATCAATAAAACAAATACCCCCAAATCAGTGGCAGACACTGACATCTCCAAAGTATTTACACTTGTAATAATATTTGAGTCAAGAGCGTAATTTGAGCTCACTCAAGCAAAACCTGCAACTAGACAGAAACGTGAATTTTCAAAGCTAATGGGAACAATCATGAATCAAAAAGCCAAATTCCGAGTATGCAAATATGAAAAAGGATTGTTTGCATTTCCTACTCTGGCTGTGAATTATTTCAGCTGTGGAACGACAGATGCTGCAAACTTTTCCAAACTGTTCTTAGATGGAGCTACGTGTATGTGGGAATTATGTCTGCAGCCGGGATGGTTGAGAGTTGTATCGGGATTTCTGAAAAAGATACGTGTTTTCTGTTTGTTGAGACATCTGGGAAAGACACCGCAAGGAAAAAAGGAGGGGAAAACCCCAGAAACCTTTCACTGGGAACATTTTTAGCAGTCCCGCAGACTCTTAAACAGAGCAGGTTTCACAAAACCACTGTCTTTTTTCCCCACTTCGAATGTCTGCAGAAATACCAATATATGTAGTACAGTAATAAACCCAATCATTATGGCTGTCTTTGTAACCAAATAGAAAATGTGTTACTGACCTGGCTTTGGGTGATGAAGAGGTTAATTTAAATCACAGGAAAGGATTCAGTCAGGGGTTTAGATGAATGATGTCCAATAAATGTGTGCGTTTTATCATGTAATCTCAAATCCAAAGTTAGAGTTGAGCAGCCTTTAAGGAAGTACCTATTTTTAAAGCTCTCAGTAAGACAGAGGTACCAAATTTTATGTTGAAATAAAGTGTGATTTTGGAATTTTTAAAATGTGAGTTTCGCCCTTATTTCTAGCATATTTATTTTGAGAACATATGTCTATCTTATTAAAGGACACCAGTCTATGGAATTATAGTCCATTTCCATATCATATCTATTATTCAAGTGACAAAACCCAGTATCTTCCCCAATACTCTCTGCGCTGTGGAAGCAAATCCTTTCTCCAGGTCACACAGTGGTAAAGTAGGTGAAATGCACAAAGATAATCAAATACAGCTACAGATAGTATGTTACAAAGGATGATGTGGCATTACTGACAGTCTTCTCTCCGACTGCTTTTGTGTTTGTCTTTACCTTTGATACCTTCCAAAAGAACGTGAGACGTAACGTCTACCTACATTGGTGTTCTTTAAACATACCTTACATTCATTGTTTTCTTCGTTTCATTGCAAACGGTTTGAAAAATTAGGATACCCTAATTACTTCGGGGGGCTCCCAGCAGCGATCACAATTTGCAAATAAAAACACTTTCAAAATATTTAAAATACTCTGAAAAGATAGAAGCCTGTTAAAGAAATTGTCTAAATGTTTGCATACATTTCACCGTCCAGTGCTCCAATGGAAATGATCAATAAACATTTGCATAAACAACAGCAAATTTATTATGCTCATGCGTGTTTTAAATAATCATTGGAAAGCTTTACCTGGTGGGAAATTATTTCCTGTGGTCCTGCATGCACGTGCTGTCTTTTGCAGGCATGTTATAAAGTTCTGTGGACAACATGCTGTAGTGATATTTAACACTGCATTTCCAAAAGAAGGTTCTAGAGACTCAGAGATAGTCCTAGAAATGAACAGAAGCAACAACCAACACACTTCCCATAAGTCAAACCTGGCGTCACTTCCATCAAGGAATGTGTTTTCTGATTGTTCTTTTCACCATATCATTATCATCTACCTACTCACCTTGATCATGTGTATGAATTAATTTTATAGGAATATAATATAAAAGAATCGAGATCCCTGAAATCCAAAGCTTTTGAAAATAGCTTTTTCTTTTAAGAAACGAAGACTTGCATTGAACAGTAGCAATGCAGTATTACCTCGGTATTCAGTGTGGTTGAATATATTCATTAATACTTATTAGAATGTGAGAATTAAAATATCTACTTATATTTTCTACATTTCTCTTTTTTAGAATTCGTATAATTTAGCTGTACATAATAGCTGTGAGTGAATAGGGTTGCCAAGGTTAAAATACTTTTTGTGCAGCTTAGTTTTTGTTATTGTTTTTCAGTTTATTCTACCGAATTAGGCTTTCTTTACTAAGAATAAAACCTTAGAGGGTTTCTGAAGCTTATAATGTAAATGACCACAAATACTAAGCTCAATCAAAACAAATACTAAAAGAAGAAGAAGAAGAAGAAGAAGAAGAAGAAGAAGAAGAAGAAGAAATCCTACCCTTAATTCTGTATTCTGATCCATCAGTGACTGTATAACTATATCATTAACGATGTTCTCTAACTGGGGAAGTCCCTACCCTAGAGTGTAAAGGATCAAAGAAAACATTCTTTTCTGTCTAGTACACTTAGTAGTCCGGCCTCCCAACAGTGGGATAAAAGGAACTTGCTAAACTGTTGCCATTTTGCAACATCTGCTATAATTCCCCTAAATCCAGATTTGTCTGACACAGAGAGGCCTGTTCTTACATCATTGCCATGTGACAGAATAACACCAGTCACATCAAGCTTGAGCATTGCAGCTTCAGGCTATGATAATATGAAGAAAACCTTTTTGCCTAGGGCAAAACACTTGTAACAAAGTATTATTCATCTGGCCAATTTAAATCTTCTCTCAAAAAGGTACCCAGAAACATATGCAGTATGCCTTTGTAAAAGGCTCGAGCAGCTCATAGGCAAATGACCTGAACCAAGAGTACAAAACCTAATGTCCTGATTAATTACTGCTAAGCGGCTCTGATACACAGAAAAGAGAATGCTGGTACTAATCCTTAACCCTGTCCTACATTCTCAAAATAGCCAAAACACTGCTGACAGTTAGAAAAACAAACCTGTCTAGGTTTTAAAAAAAAGAAAAAAAAAAAGTCGTACATTATCACTTGATGCCCTCCACCTAATAAAACCAGGATGCAGACAGATTAGGGAGTTAGTTACCAGTCCAGGGGGCTTCTTGGGACAAGGACACAGCCTCATAGAAAGAAAACAATCCGAAGGGGGAAAAATACGTAACAACAATACACAATCCCCAAACAGAAATATTTGGGGTATTCTTATTTTCAGGGTTCAGCTTCCAAGAGACTGAGCTTGCCTGGAAATTGTTCCTTAAGAGTTGAGCAACCTCAATACCGCAGTGCCTTGCTGATTAACCTGGAGCAGATTGCTGTGCTTAGAATTTTATTAGGAAAGGGTGTTAGAATTTTTTACCTATAAAAATAGGAGGATGCTCATATTTCACTCTAAATATCAGACATGTTAGATTTCAAACTATTTGAATTGGAAAGCTATCTTGGTTTCATCAACCACTCAAATTACATCTACCTTTATTAATAAAGCAGAGTTCTGGAGTCCTTGTTATTTTTGCTGAGCAAGAAATAAATGTCTAAAAAGAGAAAGTCCTGTAAGGGAGAAGGAAGTTGCCTATCTTAGCAAATTTCTTTCATTAAAAAAAAAAAAAATCAAAAGGTCACTAAAATGCAGCTTATCGTAACATTAGCCATAATGCTATTATATTGTAGGTAAATAAAATTAAAATACTTCTCTTGGACTTTATGTAAAAACATGTACTTCAATAACACTAATTTAGAGCAAATAATGATCTTTATCTATTTTGAAAGCTGTTCTTAATTTGACATTATTTTACAGGTACACCCTCTCCCCCCCCCCCCCCCGCCCCGAGTTCTAGGAAATAGCAGGGAACGGGAAAGCCATCCAAGGCTGGGGTTTTGAAGGGCCAGCCTAACTTGGTTCAGGGTCATTTTACTAACTAGGCTGCCCCCAATGCAAAGGAGAAGAGGCATATTTTCACCTGCAATGCAGTTGTTCTCAAGTCTAATTCCATTTTGGATTTTCAAGAATATTTCTGTGTGGGTGCACATCACTTGTAGACACAAGCATTTTCACATGCCACAGCTACCCACCCATTCTTTAATAGATGGTATAGGAAATACATTTTCCACC